TGCTACCTAGATTGTAATGTGTATCTGGGCTGGGTCAGGTCCCACTTGCTTAAAACAACATCCCAGCATCTTAGGTTTTAAATACTCTTCTAGGTGAACACTCACCAGTGCAGCTGCTGATTGTCTCCTCCTCTCTTCCCGGCCCTCACCCTAAAATTGTACAGGGGCAGGTGTGATTACTGGTTCTTGGTGTGGGGAGGGGGGCACCCAGCTTGAATGCCTCCATCTGTGCTGGCGTCTGTTTATATGGTGCGTGTGTGTCTGTTTTGGCCTCTCAACTGCGGGCTTTTTAATTTGATCCAGTTCCCTAATGACCCTTTGGGTGTTTGGTGCATCCATTGCCACGTAGAGCTGACATGAATTGATGTGAATTGACATGACCACCGAGGTCCTCCGCCCTCACCCGAGGCCTTGCTCAGGTAGTGATCTCTCAGCATCTGCGATTCCTGAGCACACAAAGAAACCCCGATTCTCTCTCTAGCCACCTGTCCTCGCCACTGCTGCATATTCACCACGAGGTGCTATTAGATGTGACTGCCATGGAGATTCTCTGGAGGCTTCCATATTCCACGCGAGTCAGCCACTGTTTCTCCCCAAGTTCTCTTACTTTCTCAGCACCTATCACCACGTTCCCTAAGTGCTGTTCCAGTGCCTCGTGGATGTAGACGTGGCCCAGAGTGGTGGAGGACAAGGGGTGGAGAGGAGGACCTTTGCATCCGATCTCCTTGTCCTCTCTGTGTCTCCCCTTCTGCTCCCATAATCCAGATAGGAAGGCACCCCTTTTCCTACTTTTCTGGGAGACATTTATACTCTTTCATTCTCAGAAGGGGAAAAAGCCTCCCATGTCAGCCTCACTGCTAGGAAGGTCGCCCTCGGTCATCGGAGAAACTCTATAATCTGGGTCAGCCTGGCTTGCCTCTTGATGTTGTAGCCACAGGATGATTTGTAGCTATGAATAAAAATGTTTTGGATTAGTACTTCCTAAAAAGAATGCTCAATGCAGAGTCTATACCTTCTGCTTGTCCTATTGAGCGACAAAAATGGTCAGATCCTAGACACATCCTCATTGTTTCCATTTTTATTGAAAGGAATTAAATGTACTAATAAAAGTTATTTGGAACATGCATGTCCATAGAAACTTGTAAAGGGTGTGTGTGTGTGTCTGTGTGTCTATGGATACATTTCTACATTGACAAAAAGAAAAAGGCGGCTACATCGTTCCATTTTCTATTTATCAATTATATAGTATATAGTGCAGATTCTTCTGTCAGTTTATGAGTATATAGTTTCATTTAGGCCCATGTCAGTAGAAATCATCATAATTATATCTTCAGTAACTGGAGAATGAATATATTTTGAACACCCTAAATATCTTCTAGTTAAACCAAGTTTTCAATAATTTAAGAATTTAGCTTGATAGATTCAATAAAGTCCATAATGTGAAATAGAGGAAGATTACAAGATATTTTTTAAAAAAAGTTCTCATGAATAATAAAAAATGGTTTGTGTAGATGAACATACGTATGTTTGTATTTTTTTTGTTTGTTTTTGACTTTGACTTTACATCTCACGTGTTTTATACTATTCCAAACCAAATATAACATATCAGTGACTTTATTTCAGGGCCATACAGTTTCTGAAAATAAATGTGTATCCACATTGTCTCTTACAACAACCTGTTTGCATTGTTGAGAATTTAATATGTGCTGTAAGGATTTATCCATGATGTAAAACAAAATAAAAATCTGTGACACATTATAATTAAAATAAGTAATGACCCCAAAAGTGATAATTGGTGGAATGTAGTATTTAACTGCAACTATTTCCAGCTGGTGTAGTGAAATTAGAAGTCGGTACAACTTTTGAGAAAACAGGCAGTAAGACAGATCTCCTTAATGCAAAGCAGGTAGCTTTGCACTGATCAAGCTTGTTAGTTTGGTATCTGATCTTTTTTATGTAATTGGAATAATATAAATTGATTTTCAGATTAATTGGGAACATGTGTTAGCTAACATAGTGTTCTTTTTATCTACTTTACCTAAAATGACCTGAGCTGATTTCCTAAGTATTTCATCTTAACCAACTGAAAATCTGTGCTTGATAAGATACATAAACACCCTGTAGGGCACAGCACCATGTTGAAGTATGATTGCCGTCTTCCTGAACCAACCAAAAAATGTACATGATTGTGCTTTACAACTAACTAATCTACTCTTTCAGTAGATTTAAATGAATAGAATCAGTAGGTCTAAGGTGTCACCCGGGCATTTTTAATGATTAACCAAGTGATTCTGATGTAAATGGTTTTCAGACTACACTTCAAGAAATACATAAGCTAGAAATTATTCTATGTGCATTTTTACTTAATAATTCTATAAAGAGAGACATGGATTCTCCTCATGTCATACACAGTTACTAAGATATAGAGAAATACATCTACATGGTCCTTAAATTTCAGTCCCTATTAGCACAAAATGGCGGACTTGTTTAACTTTCCAGATTACTTGGTGATCCAGCTGTCTTCTGCATTACTCAACTACAATCCGTAGTCTTTGAGCACCAAAACAGTCTGAAAACATCATACACCACAGTGTCAAGAATGGGGATTTGAAAGAATAGGATGGAAATCCATTTAGAAGATTGACAAGGAAATACAGATAGATTGGTATAAAGAGGGTCAGACAATTTGAAGGAAAGTCAGCAGACTCTAGTGTGGCTGCTCTTAGGTTTTGACTCCACGCTGTTATTTTTAATGTCCTGTTCACTCTCAGGCAAATTGGGAACTACTACTACTATAAAAACATCCTTTTACTGGTTTTATCTCTTACACAACTTTGAGAGAAATAACATTTGTTAAGCTGTTTTTTGTTACAAAAGGAAGGTAGCCTTGTTGGAGAAAATTTGGAAAATATATAAAAATTAAAAGAAGCAAATTAAATTTTCTGTATGTCATTGAATCAGATCCTATTTGGCTTTATAGAGACCCACATATGTCTACATACAAGTGTGAGCTTGTGCTTGTGCATCTTTTAAATTAAGTAGTTTCACGGAGATACGCACACAGAAGAATGCCCAAACCTCACTTGTGCAGCTTAACGAATTTTCACATAGTGAACACATTTATGTAATCAACACTTAGAGCAAGAAACAGAAATTAATTGGCCCCCAAAAGCCCAGCCTTATGGCTGTGGCATTCCCAGCCCACCTTCTTCACAAACGTGACCCTATTCTGACTTCTCTCACAGTGGAGACATTTGCCAATCTTTGAAATGTATACCCTGGGAGTCATATGGTGTGTGGTGCTTTGTGTCTGATTTCTTACACTTTGCCTTATGTTCATGAAGATTATCTGTGTGGTTACTTGTTACAGTGATTTGTTCATTCTCAGTACTGTATATTCTTCTACTGTACACAGAAAGCAATCTATATAAGCATCTTTATGGGTAGGCATTTAGGTTGTTTCCTCATTTTGACTAGACCACACTCTTCTGGTCATCATTGGCATGCCTTTAAATAAAAATTTTACTGGACTTTTACATATAAAAACATGTACAAATCATACTGAATGGTTGTATGAATTTTCACATAATAAACCCACCAACTTAGCCAGCACACAAATAGAGAAAGAACCCATATGGATACCCAAGAATTCCCTGCTATGCATGGTAAATTTAATGACTCCTAGATATTGCATGTGAAAAAATAATAAATCTTGGGGTAAAGTCATATTGCTCAAAAGAGGATATACTTTTGCCTCTGTTAAAATAGGAGAAAACCACCCTAATTCAATCAGAGTTTGAAAGTTGGGTTTTAGTCACAGTGAGGCATGGTCTAGACCCCATGAAGAATTATTAAGAGAGTGTAGAACTTCAGTGATCCCAACGGGAAGGAGGGGACATTTCCCAGGTCCTGGCCTCCTTGGTGGCTGAGGAATGCAGTGTTTGACCCCTCGGTCCCTGATGGCTGTCTCCTCAGTCACTCCCTCTGAACCTCGTATTTCTGCTCAGCATGTCAGCCTTTCACCGCACATCATTTGCAAGTAGGACAAACTGTGTTGGTATCTTTTAAAACAAAATTTGGGTAATTATTTTCTCCTGCTTTTTTTCTACTACTTTTTATTTACATCTTGTCACATAGTGTCGTAGCATAACAGATTTTTCAAGTTCCAGCTGAGAACTCTTTCTTTCTCTGATTCTGGCCCCAGGCTTCTGTGATCTACCCCACACTGTGACAGAGCTGGGGGCAGGGCATTTGTTCTCAGGCTTTGATTAGAGAGAACCATTTCCTGCTTGGCTCACATCTGATGTTCCTTGATTGTGCAAAAGTCGTTGACCTACATAATAGACTCTGGTTGCAACAGGCCAAGGACATACCTTTTCACCAGGTAGCACATACTGCTGGTAGATGTGCCTGCTTACCTTTTTCTTGGGCTGTATGATCCCAAGGTAATCACTTCACTCATGGTATATGATGCTCAGACTCCTGGTTTATATGTGAACCCCGAAAATGATGACTATAGTATTTTCTGATAGCACTTACTTACCTGAAAATACCCACTTGATGCACTGCGCTCTTTTATAATGTACAAGTTTTATTTTCTAAGTAGTGAAAAATGTAAGTGATCAAGGCTACGGAAGTGTTACATTTCAGAGAAAAGGAGGTACACGTGTGTATAAACAAAAGCTTGCCACCCGTAAAATGTGAACAAGATAAAGGCAAAATCACTTCCTAAAAGTAAGCCTCCAGGAAATACTTGACATTTTCAAGAAGATGTTTGCCCTTTAATGTCATCATTTGCTTTTTCCATGTGGGTTTTTGAGGTGCTGGAAAATTGCAAGCTTCCTCCTTTTTTTTCTTCTTTTTCCTTTTTTGGAAAGCTAGGGAGTAGGAATAGTAATGAGATGCTCTTCAGCTAGACAAATGCCAAGATGGCCAATTAGCTGACATCAAAACAAGAATAACTCTTTTCACATGGAATCTTTTTTGTTGTTTCTTTTAAGACCTCAACTGCCACGGTAAATGTGTTAGTGACAGATGTCAATGACAACGCCCCAGTGTTCGATCCCTATCTGCCTCGAAATCTGTCCGTGGTCGAAGAAGAAGCCAATGCGTTTGTGGGTCAAGTAAGGGTAAGTGGCGCGTATATATCAAGTGCATTTTTTAAGTGAATACGTTTCATATATTTTAATTTCAAAAAGACATTCAGCTAATGCAGGGTACAGTGGACCATTAGAAGTGTTGAAAGCGATCAGCGAGATCACTTGGGTATGAGGCGAAACACCAGTAAAGTGCCTTCATTCGCAATCACAGTGCCGGATACTCTTCCAGATTTTTTTCCCCGTAAATCACATTGTGTCCATTTGGCTTTACCTCGTTAAGCTTGTTGATTTACATTTTAGGACCATCAGGTGTTTTAAATGTTGATTAATTTAAAGTATTCTTTTCTTAATATATATTTTTATTTTCTGGAATTATGCTAAGATATTTGTAGAGAAATATGTGATAGCTCTACCATTAACTATGAATTTGTAGGTGCATCCCTCAAAATACAGATGTTTGGAGGTAAATTCATCTGGTTGTGTAAACATGCCCTCAGCATTCTCTGGGTACCTGTATTTCACACACAACTTTTGTCCAACGTGTTCTCCTTCTTGACTTATTTATTAGCCAGTTTTTATTAGCCAGTTTCTGTAGTTCCTTTGATGCATAATCCCATTTTTCTTATAGCAGGGGAAATATTTCCTCAGCTGGGCCATACTTGGTCTTGAACTTGGTAAAGGGTCTAGAAGCCATATGCTGAGGGCACATTTTGAGGATGACACCCCTGTTGTGAAGCATCTACCTGAGATGAGGCATCTGTGTGGGCCACAGGCAAGGGAAGAACCCTTCTCTCGGAAGGAGTGGGGCATCCCAGTGTGTGAGTCCAGACTTTGGGATCGTACCCTTTCCCTGTTAATGCCGCGAGCCGAGAACAGGAGGTTTTCTGGTGCTTTGAAGCAAGCCTTCTCTACCAGGCAGCTGCACTTCCAGTCAGATATAGGGTCTGGCATTCAGTCCAGTTTCCTCTCTGGCTGCAGAAGAGGAGGGCTTCTTTAAACAATGTCACAAAGACCCTCTGCCTTCCACACCAAGCCCTGGGGGTTTCGCTGAACAGTTGGAGCTCATCAGTGTTTTCCCTTAGAGCTTTGACGATAACTTACAACAACTTCACAGCCATTATCGTCATCATTGTCAGACTCGCTCTCAAATCCTGCGGAGGTCACATAAGGCATACGTTCCCTTGTGCTTTTATGCCACCCGAGCTCGCCGCAGGGGAGAGGTTTGTAATTGTGCCGCGACAGTGCGCCCGGGAGTCTTGATGTCATGTAGCCAGCAAGCCATCAACTCCAGAACCCTGTATAATAATACCTCTGGCGTCAAAACTCTCACCATGAACTCGGCCAGAAAAGACCTGTAGACAAAAGATTGAGGAGTTCAAGTGACACTAACAGGAAAGTGAGGAAGTGATGCAGGGAAAAGACAGGTACCAGTGCAGGGCTGGCTACTGCACAAGTCCTCGTGAGGAAAACTGGAGCTCAATCCCAACAACAAATCTAGGAGATCATATGGCCTGGAGTTATCAATCCTGAGAAGCGAGGGAACTGGCAAATTCATGCACGAAACCCTGACAGTTCTCGGTCACTGATGCTTTGGAGGGCATTTTCAGTACTTCTTGCCTCCAGTGCAAACAAGCGGCCAGGTCTCTGCAGTTCAGATACAGGAGTATTCAGTCAGACTGCACACACCAGCAGGTAGAAGTTGGCCACAGAGTATACCTGCTCTGAGGGCCACAGGTGGGGCACTAGCAGTTTCTATAACACCAAGCAGACAAGATGATAAAATCTGAGCGGCATGTGCAGAAAACACAGAAGAGGAGGCAGTGCTGGCATTTACTCATGAAGGATGAGTATTGACGAGAAGAAAATTGGGAGGGGTTGGAAGCTGTCTGGCAGATAATTGCATGAATAAAAGCACAGACCCAGAGCACTGACATGTCACATTACAGGAAATTAGATGTGCCACATTGTAAAGATTTCTCTGTGCGTGTTGGAGAAGGTGGCGGGGGGACCCCTGCAGGGTGTGACGGATGGCGTCACTAGATTTTTATAAAGCTTACTCCTGGGTAGATTGTAATGGGAGATTCTAAATTCAGAAAGCTGTATTTAGTCACATCTACCAATTATTCAGAAAGAATAAACAGGTACTGAAATCACTTAGGAAAATTATCTTTTCCATTTCTCATACTTTACCTGACATTGGAGAGTAAAGGCCATATGGAATATATAAGTAATCATAAGTAGGCATTAATATAATGATTAATTTTTCATTATTTTTATTTTTCCTTTCTCTTTATTTTCATCACTTTCCCTAGTGATTCTTCATCTTTGAAGGAATTATAGCATTAACTGTGTTTCTTGTCTCCTACTTCTAAAATTCAACAAGGAATGGACTTTGTAATGTATTTTGGCATTAAAAATTGAAGTACAAACCCTGGCACTCATAATTTGATAAAGCAGTAATTGTCATGGACTTTAGGCAATAACATCTTTTCACAAAAACCTAAAATGACTGAAACTAAAGAGGAACATGAAAACGTGCAAAGCAGGTGCATACCACTGATTCCGCCCAGTCCCACAGAAGTTGTAACGTCCATAGGATGGGATTTTCATGCATCCTAACAGTCTCCTGTTGCTACCTAATGAGAATTTTATGATACATTAATTTCACTAAATGACTCCTGCCCTGCTTATAGAATTTATTTCTAGTTGTCACCAGAACTCTATGAAGACACACTTAAAACCAAAATACATATGGTTATTTCTTGTACTGAATTTGAGTTACCGACTCCAGAGTTTTTGTTCTAATGATGTGGTGGTGTGTTAATCCACTGTTTGCATTCCAGTGCTAAAGGCACTTTTTATTTACTTTTTAAGGTACTAAGGCAGTGTCGTAGTAACTCAACTTTATTAAATAGGGAATACTTCTGAAGCAATATTTATGGATTGTGCAACGCAAAGTTTCATCAGCATGTTAAAAAATAAACTCCCAACCTGCAACGTTTTAACGGAGAGCTCACTATACGCCAGTACCATATACCGTACTTAACTTTGAAAACTATTTCCATATTCCCAGGGCACTTGTAGCAGTGGCATTGTTGGGGAGAAGAGAATGTGTGCAGAGTGAAACCTAGCAAACACAGCGAGAACACACTCTGTGTCGATGTCAAGTGTCAAAGTGGCGTCCTGGTGATTTACTGAAGGACGAGGAGCGCCACAAAGGAATAAGTAGCTGTGTCAGTGTTCATGGGAAAATGTATTCATCTGCAGTATCTGGACAAATTAGTGAGATTCTAGGTTGGAACAAACAAGGCAAAGAAAGATACCAGGTGGAGATGACCCAGGACAGAGCTGGGCTGAAGAGGCAATTTGAGAACAAGTCAACAGTCTGACAATAATGGAAGATTTCTTGAGAGGAGTTCTGGAAAAGTGATTAGGAACACGTTGAGTTCTGACGGGGAAGACCAGGGGGCTTGCTAGAGAGACTCGGTGTGTCGGCGTAAAGTCTTATTTAGTGGTTAGTGCCTTGCACAGCATGTCACGGGGGGAGCATGTAGGGGGATCTGCGTGCATATTCTGATGGTGGACCACAAGCGTGCCAACAGGGTATCCCCAGTGAGGTGTTGGTTGTAAGAGGCCTCACACCAGCCACGGACAAAATCCCTGCCCATTCCAGATCCCGGGGTATGCAGAGAAGCAGCAGAAGACACATGCTTGTGTGTGAGAGAGACACAGAGAGAGATTGTATATTAGAGAGGATCTAATAAATAATATCTATATATATATATATATAGATAGATAGATATAGATATAGATAGATATATGAGAAGATATGTATACACACATACGTGTATATAGAAATACTTAGGTATGTAGGTATTATTGTTAAATAAGGTTAATAGTTGAGGGTAAAGAGGCTGGGTCTACTGTTGAGATTATGTCATTTCTTTTTTTTTTTTTTAAGTTCAGTAAACTGCTTAGATGTGTTTCCCAGACCCTATTTATCGCTAAATCAGAAGGACCCCAGGAAAGGTTCACCCTGATGTGTGAGAATCAGGCGGCCAGGTTTGGTCCCACCACACACCCTGGGTCTACAGACGTGGGCCCTCAATGCCATGGATGCCATTTTCATTGATCTGCTCAAAGAAGGTCTGACAGATGGACCCCCGAGTCTGGGTGAGAAGTGCAGAGGAGATAAAGGGGAGACCTGTTTCAGTAAACATGGTCTTCACTGCTGGGTCACCAAAAGGACCTCTTTGTACTTGTCTGACAGAGTTTAGCCTGAGGGAGGAGAAGCTATTTTCACTTTGTGACACGTGCCCAGGAGGCACTTTGTGGAGATTTGGAGTGAGTGGGAGGTGAGGCCCCCAGAGGCCTTGGAGGCTCGTCCAGCTGCCTGCCCTCGGACAGCAGCTCGCGGAGAGGTTCCTCAGGGGCCACAGTTCTGCTGAAACTTGTCCTGTTTTTCAGAATAGCCTTGGGCATGAAAGCCCACACAGCGGCAGTGAAGGCACACTTGGAAACCACCCTGTCTGTTACGTTTAAAGCAGGTTCTTAGCAGTGTAGATGATACAGAGTGAGCCACTTCCTGGCAAACCTCTAATCGGTGCCTTGCAGCAATTCTTACACTGCATGGACTTCTTTAGCTCTAAGTGACAACAATAGAGGCCCTGAGTCAACAGAATGTTCTTCCAGTTCTAAAACAAAAGTGGCTGTATTTGTTTAACCTGAAACAGAAATGCAGTCCCAGTGTGAGGTCTGCACGCTAAGTTCCAGCTACGGGAAAGTGCTAGCAGTTCAGTCTAAACCCTGAAAGCAATTTTGAAGTCATTAGTGCACGTCAGTGTTTAGAAGGGGAGGGCAGGTGTTCGCTTTAAAAAGAAATTGGTGGGGTGTCTGGGTGGCTCAGTTGGTTGAGCGTCCTACTTCAGCTTGGGTCATGATCTCACGGTTCACCAGTTCAAGCCCCGTGTTGGGCTCTGTGCTGACAGCCCAGGGACTGGAGTCTGTTTGAGATTCTGCATCTCCCTCTC